TACAGGACAACGATTTAGTCGGGCTCGAAATACCCATGGATGACCTGGCGGAACTCAACATGTTCTGATGATCCCGCAGCTTGTGTACTGTACAGCTTGTCGATTTAGTAAACCGGCGATACAAGTCTCTTAATTCTTTTTTTTTTTTTTTTTTCTACTTTACAATATAGTCTTGGCAAGAATTGCTGGTGTTATTATGCATTGTTTATTGTACTCTAAAAATATTGTTTTTAGAAGTTTCATGTAGTTTAATGTATGTTTAACAGTCGTTCGTTATGTATACTACTGCATAATGGCCAAGATTGGTTTGGCGAGTTATTTCAAATTGAATGTCTCATTTATTACTGGCTGATTCTGTACTTGGTTTATTTTTCTTTACTATTACACCGACCAACGATTCATTCATAAGTCTTATATAGTTATTTTTTTTTATGGGTTGTACATGTTTTTCACTTAATTTTAAGCAATATTATATTTTTATATCGTTATTTGTAATTTGAAATATTTTTTTACAGCAAATATAGAATACATAAAAAAATTACAAAACTACGTTGAGGTAGAAACTAAAAGATTTCTGTTATTCAATTAGACAAACGATAAATTTCCGTTTAATATATTGTAAGTAAAAGACATGATACTTTAAATATAAGAGAACAGTCGCAAAATACCACTGTACAAAAATTGCACAAAAAATTGGGTCTAAGTGATCGCTTCCGATTGTCTCGGATTTGCATGAATCCCCTGAGAAAATCGGCTAAGCGAGACCTGGACAGGCGTAGGCACTCCTCGACGGGCTCCGTAGTTAGGTGACGCTTAGGCGGTCCTAGGCGCTCCTAAGCGGGCTCAGCGGCAATTTTTTTATTTTTCTAAATACAAATTACATTACTTTATTATCATATTTTCTTTATAATATATTAATATTATTATTTGAATTTATGTATGTGGATTTATTATAAGTTGAGATGATTTTATTTTGCATGTAGTAAAAGAAAAAAAAATAATCTTAATTTCTAGGCTCCATGTAGGTGCCGCCTAGGACCCGCCTAAGTGCTTTAGGCGCTCGGCGTTGGTCAAGCGCCACGAGACTTCTAGAACACTTGTCGCAACTAGTGCTATCGATAAAACAAACAAGAAAAATAGTGAGGTGAACTGAATTGATGCATAATGGTTTTATTCTTTAGCATAAAAATATGCTAAAGAAATACACATATAACCCCTAGATTAGAAATATTAACATAAATACAATTAGTAGGAAACATAATCAAAAGAGGATTCAGTAGTGATTTTTTTTTTTCAAATTTACGAGATTGTAATAAATCATCAGATATCTTTCTTCTCTCTCCATATATTGATAGTCATCGCATAAAGCCTCATCACCTTTCATTCAATCGTCACCCTAATTTTCGCAGAGAAAAATCAGAACCCACGACCTCGAGTCTCGAGTTTCGTGGTCGAAGCTCCAATTTCACGACAACCGTCGTCCGACAGCGAGCCTTAATCCTTATCCGCAACCCTTAATTTTGACGACTAGCGGCGAGGCAGGTGAACCGCGAACAAGCAGCAGCGGCGGGAGCTTTCTTCGACGTCGAGCTTCAATCCGACCTTTGACCTCCAGGCGCGATGGCGAACGCCGAACACCACCGCGACTGAGAGCTAACCGTGACAGAGAGGAAAACCGACTACCCTGATCGAGTCGGCCTTGCCATGGCGAGGCGAACCACCAGATTTTATAGAGAATTTGTCGAACATGCTGCAGATACAATGCTTAAAGCAGTTAAGTATACGGAAGATAAACAGGAGATAAACAACTCCAGAACACTTGAATGTGGTGTCGATGGAAGTACGATTTGGGATGTTGTGGTCGGCCAATCTTTCAGAGATAAAAATGAAGTGATGAAGTTGCTCAGCCACCATGCAATAACAAACCAATACCAATTCAAAAATGAAGGGATGTTTATATATTGTTTATCTTACGTATATATATGTACAATAATCGGTTTGTGTGCTAATAAAAATTATGTTTAAATACTGTTTATCTTACGTATATATATGTACAATAATCTGTTTGTGTGCTAATTAAAAATATGTTTATATACTGTTTAACTTATGTATATATTTATGTACAATAAACGGCATGTGTGCTAATAAAAAATATGTCTATATAATATTTATCTTGTGTATATATATGTAGAATAAACGGTAGATGTAAGATACATTACCATATAAGTTCTACATATAAGTATATGTTTATATATCGTTTATCGGGTTAGTGCAGAATCAAAATATGTATATAAACTGTTTATCTTATGTATATATATATACATAATGAACGGAAGTATAAGTGTATTGCTTATCCGAAAAGTGCATTTTGATAGATTAATCTCATGCAAATCAAATATCCAAACGTAACAGCACCAATATTCCTTCACTGAAGTTCACCAGGAAATAAAGAAAAAGAAAATAAAAAAATGCAACACAAGGTATGAGAGATGTGAGCTTTGCACGTTCTATATCATCAAGCATCCCAGAGGAATCATCGTCGCTCTCACACGAATTTCCTTGCTTCGTCTTCAATTTAGTAGGCTCTATTTTCTGAAATTGAAGCTTTTTTTGTACAATATTTCGCTCGGGGGGTTTAAATTGGGATGTGCGACGAGCTCGGGAGCGAGTTATCCTTGCTTCGTCTTCACTTTTTGGAGGGTTTGCTCTCGATTTTATTTTTCATTGCCATTGTTCTTCACAATTTCACCGACAAAATAAGGTGCACTGCGCTTTTGATATGGCTCGTCGGAGAAGAGTATTAACAACAAACTTAGAAAATTTTGTGGTATCTGCACTATGACTATGAGCTCCCTACTATCATCTATTTCACATAATCCTGCACAAAAAAGTACTCCCTCCTTTTCAAAATAAGTGTCGTTTTGACTTTTTTGATTCATCCATTTTACTATGTATCTAGATATAAATATACATAGTAAAATGGATGAATCAAAAAAGTTAAAACGACACTTATTTTAAAAAGGAGGTAGTATTAATTATGAGATTAAAAAAAATGTAATTGCAAAAAGCAAGTACTTTCAAACTTCACAGGTTCTGTAATTCTAATTAACATCAAGAATAGAATATAGAGGTGTATTATGCTTTTAAGTTTCACATA